GCAGCGCGAACCCTTGGCCTTGCCAGTTATGTTTCCCGGCTGTGTCCGCGCGCATCCCCAGGTGGACCCGTGCCACTATCACCCCTCACTCAGGGCGCTCCGACGTTTCTGCACATGCTGTGGGGAGGGGACACGAGGGTTTGGTGGGGAGACGGAGTTCGGTCAGTGGGGGGAGGTGGGAGAGGGGAGCAGACTGGATCCGGTCAGGAGAGGAGAGGGAATCAGGTTTGGCTGGGAGGGAAGAGAGGGTGCAGGTGGATTAGATGGTGGAGAGAAGGGGGGGCGGACTGGGTCCGGTCACTGAGGGGTCAGGTTTGCCTGGGAGCAGAGAGAAGGTAGAAACTGGGTTTGGTGAGTGGGGGCAGGGGTCAGGATGTGTGTGGATGGGGATGTGTATGGAGGGGAGACAGGACGTAGGCTGGGTTTGGCCGGAGAGTGTGGTGGGAGTCAAAGAGAAAGGGGCGCTTTCCTCCTCAGTGCCTGTCCTGGGGGGGCGGCCAAAAAAATGTTTTGCTTGGGGCAGCAAAACACCTAGAGCTGGCCCTGGCCCCACCCCCGGGTACGCGGCCTATGTGCAGCCCCTCCCCCGGGTGGCCCTGCCCCCAGGTGGCCCATACCCCACCCCCGGGTGGCCCAGCAGCCCCGCGCGGCGCCCACCACCCAAAGAGGTTGGGGAGCACTGAACTAGACAAATCTACTAAACTTATTTTACTTATCACCAAACTTACACCTATCACAGGTAATGACTTCATTATTACATTTCTGAGCTTATATACAGTGCTTTTTTTGTTTTAAAAAAAAAAGTGCCAGTACTCCAGGGGAAAAATTGTTGAGCTCTGACTGGAGGTGCTGGTACTGTGTACTGGGCAGTACCGTCATAAAAAAAGCACTGCTTATACATATGCTGCAGCCATAGTAGAATCCTAAGGAGCTGATTAGTCTGATAAACTGGCCTTCAAAATTTTAAAAAGCCAGTTTTTTTCTACCTAATGAAAAAAGAATGAAGTTATTTTGTTTTTTAAACCCTACTGGCTAAACTTTGTCCCATAATGGACTTTGAAGAGCAGTTTATTAAGCCCCTGAAAAACAGGGCTGCCAGACAAATCTCCTTTTTAAATCCCATCCGTATGTGTTTTTTAGTTTGCCAAGGTCTCTGTGTTTGAATTGGTTCTCCACCTTCCCCCATTGGTGGGTTTGATTGGGTCCATTCCCACTAAAACTCCAAGGTGCACTTGCAGCCTAATTTGACTGTGTGCGCTGGCAGAAATATAGCCAGGGTTTTCACGCCCCCTGTTGTTAAATTATTTTCATAGCAGTTTCTGCAGACACAGGTTTGAGGATCTGCAAAAGAAACCTGAAAACAAATGTGGAAGCATTTAATGAGATGGATGCCCCTGAGATTTTAATGGTGATTCAAGAATAAAACTTAAATGTTGTACACATTTACAAGGAGATGCTTTCCTTCTGAATTAATATTAAAATAAATGAATCTGAGCCAACCCTTTCTGAATTTTGTAGACATTTAGATTGGGGTCTAATTTTTTAGGAGTGGAGTACTAGCTCTGTAGCCCCCTTTCTCTACCATGGATCAACCCAAACCTCAGCCTCCAAACAACTTCCCCTCTTGGCCCTGCTTTGCAATCTCTCATTGTAAGGTAAATCTTATTCTTCTGATGGACGATTTTGCAGAATGCATTCCTCAAGAACAGTTAGAATCAGAGTTCTATCCTTAGCTGACCAAAGTCACCATTACACAAACATCATCATTACTGTCACACTTACTGGGGCAGTCCTATCTAAACACTTTGGCTACGTCTACACTGGCCCCTTCTTCGGAATAGCCATGCTAATTTAGAACTTTGGAATAGAGAAATGCGCGGGGGATTTAAATATCTCCCGTGGGATTTAAATAAACATGGCCGCTGCTTTTTTTTCCGGCTTGGGGAAAAGCCAGAAAAGAGTGTCCAGACTGACGCGATCCTCCGGAATAAAGCCCTACTTGAAATAGGGCTTTATTCCGAAGGATCGCGCCAGTCTGGATGCTCTTTTCCGGCTTTTCCCCAAGCCGGAAAAAAAGCGGCGGCCATGTTTATTTAAATCCCGCGGGGGATATTTAAATCCCCCCACGCATTTCCCTATTCCAAAGTTCTAAATTAGCATGGCTATTCTGAAGAAGGGGCCAGTGTAGACGTAGCCTTTGTATTCAATGAGCCAAGGAGACTGACATCTATTCTTAAAGCTCTCTACCTTGGTAAAGCTGAAGCATATTAGGGAGGCAATATTGAGAGGAGTTGCTAGGAGGCTGTAAGTGTGCTGTAGGTAATAAGACTGCCTCATTTCCAGGGTTTTCAGTCCAGCACATTTTACCAAAGATAAATTGATATTTATTCTCTTAGGCTACATTTACACTACAAGGTTTTTGCGCACGCAAAAGCCTGGGGAGCACCCACACCTCAAATGAGCTCTTGTGCAATTAAATGGGCAGTTAAATGACAGAACAGAGGGCTTTTTCCACCGTAGGTAAACCTCCTTTTCTGAGGCATAACTGCTTTTAGCGCTACAGCTATTGCACAAAAAGGCCAGTGTGGATACTCCAGTGGTGTATTGTCAGAGCTTTCTTGAGCAAGAGCAACCAGCAGTGTGGACACTCTCTTGCACAAAAGCACATCGCTTTTGCAATGTGCTTTGAGGCATGGACGTGCTCTCATGCAAGAAGTTTTTGTGCAAAAACTGTAGTGCAAAAGGCTTCTTGCACTAGAAGCCTGTAGTGTAGACGTAACCTTATTTAAAATTATTGCAAATGTCTTTCTAATGTCATAGCTTAACAGCTCTAACAGAGAGCAGTCATCTGGGACAGACATGGTGAAGTACAAAAGGTAAAAAGTTCTTGAGGGGGTATTTGTTGATCATTCACATTAATGACCAGGAGACTGGTTATTAATTAAATTTTGCAAATTAGTAAGATTAAACCCCATTCACAGAGGTAGTCTCTCTACGAGAGGGCTGAGGCACATTTAGCGTTGATTAATGCTGAAAATTAGTGCTAAGATATTGTCTCCCTTAGTGGATTTTTGTTCTATTTATTTTACAAGGTAATGAACTGTTCTTCACAATCACACCTCATGGTGTACTAGGAAACTACCTGCTTTTGTGAAGAAAAGAAAGACTTAGGCCTGGTCTACTTCAACTTGTGTTTACTCCAATGAGCAACATAGCTATGCTTACCTAAGTGGTTGATCTAGACCAGTGTTTTCCAATTTTATTTGGCCATGGAATCCTTTTAAATTCAAAAGAATTTGTGGAACCCCTAATAACCATCTTATATATGGATCTGAAAAAGTAGACCACAAATAAGTAAGGATAATAAATGCTAAAGAAGGTCATGAGATCAACATTTAGTTTAATTGCACATATTTAAAAACAAAAGTCACATTTAATGTGTACACATTTTTTAAATAATAAAATGTCATTAATGGAATTTTCTAATGGCACCCTTATTTTCACTTTGTGGACCCCTGGAGTTCCAAGGAACACCATTTGGGAAACACTGGTCTAGACACAAACAGATCAAGGGAGTATGGTTATTTATCCATTGATCTATTTATCATCATGTGGGGGAATTGGCTCCCACAGTAACAGAAAAACCCTTTTTGTTGCAGTAGTCTTTCTCCACCGTCTTTGTCCCAAGTCCTGTTTCTCTTGTCCTGTGTCCAAAAAAACAAAACAAAAAAATAAGGTTTATAGGATCTTTTGAAAAAACCTTCCCTTTCTGAAAGAACTGTATCTAGCCTGCAGTTTTACTTTCGAAATAGTGCTTTTTCCATGTGCCATTACATGATTGGCTGTGTCTAGACTGGCAAGTTTTTCCGCAAAAGCAAATGCTTTTGTGGAAAAACTTGCCAGCTGTCTACACTGGCCGCTTGAATTTCCTCAAGAACACTGACTTCCTGCTGTCTGAAATCAGTGCTTCTTGTGGAAATACTATGCTACTCTGTCCTTTTGCACAAAAGGGCCAGTGTAGACAGCTTAGATTTGTTTTGCGCAAACAGCCATGATGCCGAAAATGGCGATCGGGGCTTTTTTGCGGAAAAGCGTGTCTAGATTGGCACGGACGCTTTTCCGCAAAAACTGCTTTTGCGGAAAAGCGTCCGTGCCAATCTAGACGCTCTTTTCTGTAAATGCTTTTAACAGAAAACTTTTTTGTTAAAAGCATTTGCCGAAAATCATATCAGTCTAGACGTAGCCATTATGTAAATGAAGTGCAGTAAATTCAAATCCCCGCTTCATTTGTGATTTCAAAGTGCCTAATTTACATCCCTCTACTTAGTGTTGACACAGCCTCAGGAGATGTTGGGTCTCATTAACTGTAGGCTAGTTTTATAGCCAAAATCGCAGCTCTGGCCCATGCAGTCCCCACGGCTCCACCGTGAGAGGCGGCTGCGAGCTGAAGTAGAAAAGCCGGCATGGTGGAGAAGGGACTAGACAGGCGCTCTACGGTAGCTTTAGGGAGAGGCTCTAACTCGGTGCCGTGGTGCAGGCTCGGGGCTTGGGGGCGCCCAGGTACGGGGAGCGGGCGAGGCTGGCTCTGCAGAACGGGGCCAAAAGCAGTTTCGGGAAGCGGGGCCCGGCCATTCGGGGCGGCACCGCT